AGTCATTGCTGCCTAAGAAGGAGATTAACTTGTATGTTGGTATGACATCTATGCAACGAAAATGGTATCAAAGAATTTTGGAAAAAGACATTGCAGCTGTAAACGGTAAATTATTTATTTGGTCAACTTTTTATATTATATTAGCATTTCTTAATTTACATTTACACTTATGTGCAGGTGCTGTGAGCAAAAGTGAAAGCAAAACTCGTTTGCTGAATATAGTTATGCAATTAAGGAAGTGTTGCAATCATCCTTATCTTTTTGACGGTGCAGTAAGTCTTTGTATATAGTCATTTTATACTTTTGCAAATGATACATGTTATAAATCGTTGTTTTTATTACAGGAGCCTGGTCCACCTTATACTACTGATGAACATATTGTAGACAATGCAGGCGAGTTCTTTGCAGAACCAATTATATTTATTCGTGTTGAATAACATCCCAATTTTTTTATATGCAGGCAAAATGGTAGTACTGGACAGATTACTCAAACGTCTGAAGGTCCAAGGATCGCGTGTCCTCCTATTTAGTCAAATGAGCCGTGTACTTGATATACTGGAAGATTATTGCATATTTCGGGAGTTCGGTATGGGCAAATTTATTAATGTATTTTGCATGTTTTTAAAATTCTAATTCAGATATGTATTTTTCTAGAATATTGTCGTATTGACGGGCAGACTAAACAAGAAGACCGTATAACTGCAATTGATGAATATAATTCTCCAGATAGCAAAAAGTTTGTTTTTTTGCTTACTACACGTGCTGGAGGTCTTGGAATCAATCTCACTTCTGCGGACATAGTAATACTATACGACAGCGATTGGTAGGGAATGTAAAGTGATATTATTTTTTCTGCTTACAGAAATTTTTTAACTTCTTTAATTTAGGAATCCGCAAGTAGATTTACAAGCTCAGGACCGCGCACATCGTATTGGTCAGACGAAGCAAGTTTATGTTTTTCGATTTGTTACAGAGGTAAGGACTAAGAATTTCGGTGTACATTCGAATGCATTGTGACAATATTTTTTGGATTCCGGTATCTAGAATGCTATTGAAGAAAAGGTTCTAGAGAGAGCTGCACAAAAGTTACGCTTGGATCAGCTTGTTATTCAACAAGGCCGTTTAGTACAATCACAAAAAGGTATTATTGTTTTAGTAGTTTCGTAAATACGAAGAGTTGTGATCATATGATTTATGTGATATTTCTTTAATCAGCTGCCAGTAAAGAAGAACTTTTGACTATGATTCAACACGGTGCTGAAAGTATCTTTAATTCCAGCGATAGGTAAAGGATATCATATATTTACGATTATCTACAATAATCTTTTATTTGAAGTTTCTGATGAAATAATCATGACTTTATTATTAGTACTGTAACTGATGATGACATTGACCTAATCCTCCGTAAAGGCGAAGAGAAAACAGCGGAACTTAATAAGAAATATCAGAGTCTCGGTTTAGATGATTTACAGAATTTTACTTCAGAATCAGCCTATCAATGGCAAGGAGAAGATTGGAGTAATAAGGTAGATAAATTAGTAAGATTTGAAAGGTAGAGTTTTATTTATATATTGACTTTAGTGAATATAATTACAGCGTAAAGATCATAGCTCCAGATTTAATTGGATCGAACCCCCAAAACGTGAACGTAAGGTGAATTATGCAGTCGACTCTTATTATCGAGAGGCATTACGAGTTACCGCGAAACCAACTCAACCTAAAACGCCGCGAGCGCCAAAACAAATTACTATGTTCGTATTTCTGAATAGCATGATAATATTATTCAACGTTTTGAGCTAATTGTATAACATCTGTTTTAGTAATGAATTTCAATTCTATCCACCACGTTTAATTGAATTATTAAAAAAGGAAATGTATTATCAGCAAGTTAGTATTGTAATTTTGAATTTGTTTATTTTGTAAATATTTATTTTTCAGACTGTTCACTAACTTTTTGAATAGAAATTAGCGGGGTACAAGGTTGCATTGGCTGAACCTCAAGGTGAAAATACCGATGATCTAGAATTGCGAGAACAGGAACGTCAAGAAGAACAAGATAAAATTGATAATGGTATTATTATTTCTTTCTTTCTTTGTATTTGTTCGTTTAATCTCTACATAAACCTAATGCTATTATTATGTAGCTGAAGCTTTGACAGAAGAAGAAGAAGCAGAGAAGGATGATTTAATGGAAAACGTTAGTTATTCAATATCCTATGAATATTTTTTACGCATACACTTTATTCTCGCTGACACGTCAAGTAACATTCAATCAGATTTTTGAAGATTGGAGTAAACGCGATTTCAATAATTTTGTCAATGCATCGGCAAAATATGGAAGGTAAGATTGGTTTAATTTTATAATTAATTAATCTTACCACTAATTTCTATAAATTTTTGTAGGAATCAACTTGAAGAAATAGCTTCGGAGATAGAAGGCAAAACTTTTGAAGAAGTTAAGGCATATGCACAAGTATTCTGGAAACGATATCAAGAATTGTCTAGTAAGATAAACATCTTAATTTTAATGATTACTATTAATATTTACGATTTAGCTTTAATATTCTTTTTCAATAACAATAGATCACGAAGAGATTGTTGCCAAAATTACAAAAGGAGAAAGCAAATTGGAACAGACACACGGAATACAGGAGTTACTTAAAACTAAGGTCGCACAATATCGAACTCCTGGACATCAGTTGCAAGTTTCTAATCAAGCAAAGGGCAAGACATTATTTACAGAAGAGGAAGATCGATATCTATTAATAGCTCTTGCAAAACATGGATACGGAACTGAAGATGTTTATGAAAAAATACGAAGCGAAATTGAAAATTCTGATTTATTCCGATTTAATTGGTTTATTAAATCAAGAACTTCAGGGGAACTCGCTAGAAGGTGTACTACGCTTATCAATCTTATACAAAAAGAGCATGGGGAGGAGGAGGTTTCTTCGCCGGCACAAGTGCAAGAAGAAAAAAAGGTGATTATTTTCTTTTTTATAAGATTACTATTTAGTCGAAGTTCAACGTGTACTCATAAAACAATTATTTATTAAGCGAAAGACCGTCGGCGATCAATTCATAATTAGCAACGGCGTAAATCCTCCAAAACGTGGTCGACGTTGACATTAATATTTTCAACAATTGCAATATATAAAAATTCATTACCAATACGATTTCAATAATTAGAAGTTTCATTCTTTAATAGATTCATCCTCTTTTACAAATCGATTTTATGCAATATGAAATATACAATAATGTTTATAAAAAAATTAATTCTAATTCTAACTATAAGAATATGAAATAAAATATATTAATATAGGCATATTAATGGAAAAGAAATCATGATTATATTATTTTCTTCTGGAGAGATCCCTAAATGCTGAATCGATACAGTTTTTTATATCCTTGTAAGACACGATGAGACACGATTGTTCATCTCTTGATACCAGCGTTATTCTTTCATCAACACCGGCATCCAACTGTCGTTGATCAGAGTTAGAAAATGTTAATGTCGCCAGATTCAATTAATATTCAATCCACTAATTTGTTACCTTGTTTAAGCACATCAAAACGTGCGACATATCAACAACGGGATAACCTTGTTCATCAACCTGATGAAACACGTAGTCCCTAAAAAGTTTGAT